CACATCTATGGAAATCATTTCTGTCAGCTCCACACTCTGAGCACAAAGGAGCTTTGAAACAATATTCTAGAAATGCAAGCAGTTTTGCAGGATTTTAGAAAACATAAATCTGCAAGTTTAATTTCAGTGTTAAAATATTACCTTGAGGTATTTTAATTTTTTGTGGGTTTAAAATGTACCTGATGAAAAGGCATTAGTCAGAAAGGTGACAGATGATAAACTGTAATTAAAAACATAAGATGTTGCGTATGAACCATATAAAAACAATATACAGAATTAATTTTAAACTTTGACCAAATTGTCCTGCTGAATTGCGACTTAATTTTTTTTCTATCATATGTTGCATATCGAGGCACAGTGTCTCAGTTGGTAGAGCTGCTGCCTCTAAGTGAGAAGGTTGCTGGTTCAAAACCCGGCTCAAGACCTTTTTAGGTGGAGTTTGCATGTTATCTCCATGCATGTGTAGGTTTTCTACGGTGGCCCTAAGGTGTAAATGAACATTTGAAAAAAATTAATTACGTTAAGCTAAAGCGGAAGTGTTTTTTCTTTTCAACTTTAACATAAAACAGAACAACAGAATAATGTACAGTACACACACAGCAGAGGTGCGTTGTGTGTGTACTGTACATTATTCTGTTTTATGTTGTTAATAAAGCAAACCAAAAAAAACATTTATAAAAACACTTTCTGGTTTGGTTTAATGTTATGTTTTTTCAGTTGTTTTTGTTTTTTTCAAATGCAATTCCATCTTTTCAAATGTTCATTTTCACCTTAGGGCCACCGTAGTTTTCTCCAGGTGCTCCAGTTTCCTCCCACAGACCAAAAACATGCATGTTAGACTGGTAACTCTAAACTGTCTCTAGGTGAGTGAGAGAGTGAATGGTTGGTTGTCTCATTTGTCTCCATGTGTCTCTGTGATGGACTGGAGACCTGTCCAGGGTGTCCCCCGCCTCTCACACAGTGATGTCTGGATATGGACACCAGTGACCCCTGCGACCCAAAAAGGAAGCAGCGTGTAAAGATAATGGATGGATGGATGTTGCATATCTGATTTGTTAAAGAACCTGTAGGATGTGTTTTCATTTTGCTCTTAGAAAAATAAGAAACCCGCCACCATTTTTAGTTGCTTCGTGTGTGTACAGGCTGATTTTATTTCCTTCAGAATAAAAGTTTTTGTCCAGTTTGAAACATCTGGATGTGCCGAGGAGACAAAGTCTTAGAAGTTTCAGTTCTCTTTTACCATCCTGTACCCTGCTGTGAGTTCCTGTTAGTCTCCGGCAGCACACCGGTCTGATCTGAGGGAGGTTTTTGTACGACTCTGTATCACCGTGTGAACGTCGGGCCTTCATGCACCCCCAGACAGTAATAATCTCCTGCGTCCGCAGCCTCAACCCCTCGGATTGTCAGAGTGAATTCAGGCTCTGATCCACTGCTGCTGAAGTGACTCGGAGCAGACTCATTCGTGCTGATTTGATAAAAGAGCAGAGTAGGAGGCTGACCAGGTTTCTGCTGGTACCAGCTGAGATCATCATCCACTCCTGTACTGGCTGTGCAGGTAAAGGAGACCGTCTCCCCCAGACCTACACACTTTGCACCAGGTGACTGAGTCACAGACGGGTTAGCGCTCAGTCCTGTAAATACAAACACCATCACTGTGCTGGATACTTGACACTTATAACACGCTTCACTTCTCTAACTCACCATGAATCTGGACCACCAGAATTAAGAAGAACTTTAGAAACATCTTCACTATGGTCGTCTGTGAGAGTAACGCGCGTCTACGCAGCTCGTTAAAAACGGCTGAGGTTCAGGGAGGCGCAGCGGGTATTCAAATGACGACACGGACGAGTGAGGAGCAACGTCTGCAGATCTTTGTGAGAACTTCCAGTTTCTGCTGGAAACTGTGCAGATGTTCGCTGCCCTCGTGTGTCCGAACCAGAACTTTTACCGCGGCCCGCCCTGGTTTCAGTTGGACTTCAATCACGGTTCATCTGTAAAATTATCCACAAGCGGCAGATGTGTCAAATAAAACGTTTCAGGCTCAATGAAATATTTAAAACACAGGAATGCTCCATATTTTTGATGTTTCATGTTTTCAGTGACGGTGTTTGATCCATCTTCTACAGAAAACATGAAATAAATTAGAAATATCCTTCATTTTCAGCAGTTTGATCACAACAAAGTTGTCTCAGGGCACTTTACAGGAACATTCATGTACTTAAAGCCAATTGGTAAAGTTCTCTAAGGTAACGGCATCTTCGTCCTTTGCTTTTACTCATATCAAAATAATTCACAGCTGAAGTTCTTTTTTTTATTAGTTTTTCCAAATTAAACATTTAGCACAACTAAAGTCTGCAGTTTTAACTTTAAACCTTTTTCAAGAATAGCACACGTGTATTGTTGACATCGTCTCTCTTCGCTAAACAATAAAAAAATACCACAAACTTTTATTCTGAATAAGTTGTTTTTGTTTTTAGAGCTAATCTTATTTGTTAGTATTTTTTATGATTATATAAAGCTGATCTAAATAATAAAAATAAACTGTAGGGGTGACTGGCAATAATTAAAAATTGAGCTCAGTTGAAATTATCATTTTTGAAAAGTGTTTTAATTATATCAGAATCTGTTTAATGACTAATTCCACTGATCCACATAAAAAAAAAAAAAAATATTCCAACTTTTTCACATTGGCAGCTAAAATGTTATTTTACCACTACTGTACCTTTGGTTGCAAATTGCTTTTCCCTCAGGATTAAAAAAAGCATAATCTGTTCTTAATCATAGTTTATTTCAACTAAACATTTGTAACAAACATTTTTTTGTAATACCACTATCCTATCCTCATCGCCTTTTCCCATTCCCCCCCCCCCCCCCAAATATATATTTTTAAAATTCTGCAAAGGATAAGAGGCCCCGCTCTCAGGAGCAGCAGCAACGTGCACTCTGTCCATCTTTCGGACGACTGTACGAACATAATCCCGCTGTAATTTGGTACAATGATAATAAAGCTTATTCTGGTTCTGAACAGATGTATTCAGACCACTCTGATTTCTGCTGCCATCGATTTATTGAAGTGAAATCTGGCCCGGGACATTACTACTGTAAGACAGACTGGTGAACTAAAACAGCTGTGAGGGTTATAATCATGTTACAGCATGGCATGCGGTTTGTGATCGCTGGGGTCAGACTGATAAAATAAACGATAATCTGTTTGTACAATTCAAATCCAGCACAATTGTTCATCACTAATTTAGAAACAAGTCACAGCAAATGAACTTCAAGGTAAAGCTGTAGAACGACAGTTTAGGTTTAAAGACCGCTGTGTTTCAGTTTTACGGGTGTGTCGGACTGAAGGAGGTTTTTACGGCTCTAAAACGCACCAACGGGATTTCCCACCGACTGATCAATTATTGGAAACATGAACACGTTGAAACCACTTCAGACTTTCTGTACCAGAGGAACTTCAAATGAGAAGTGGTGCTTTAAAATCATGAAAAACCGTTTGAATCAGGCGCAACACACACCTGTTCTAATGAAACAGGAAGTTTGATCTTAACATTTAATTCTCAGAAGAAAAATAAATTATAGGCAATTAGGAAACATTCTGAAAATAAGTGGTCATGAAACCAAATGTGTTTTACTGCAGAAATTTGTGAAATGAGTTTAACAAAAGAGCTCGACACAATAAACCTGATCTTTAGCATCTTTTCTAACTGGAAACAACAACCGTCACCATAGGTCTGTCGCAATAAACAATAAATCAATTAATCACACGATAAATGAAAATATTCAAACTCATTTTCATTCTTCAGCTTTATCGTTTCTTCATGTCTCTCTCTTTCTACTGAAGACACTGGATGATAAAAAGCTCAACTCCGGTGCTCTTCACTGACCCCCTCACTTTCTCTTTAAAATCTGTTTTAACGATCCAAAATCACGTTTTTGGATCGTTAAAAGCAGCTAAGCTACGAGCTAAGCTAACACGCCGACCTCGGGAAAAACCTCCGTCTTGTCGAAACTCCAAAATTCACAGTTGAAACCCGTGCCTTCGTCTAAAAAGTTATTTTTCTCTGCAAAAAGAAGCTGAGAACTTGTTTACCTATTTTTTTTATTAAGAACTTTGTGTGAAAAATTTTATGCTAAAGAGTTCAAACCACACCGAGCGTCCATTTTGAGAACTGAAAAACAGGAAGGAAAGACAGCCCACGTCACGTCAAGGGGCCTCACTCCCATTTTTCTTAAGACACGCTGCTCGCTCCCTCACTATCCATCCTTGGGTTCAAACAGTCTTATACTGCCATCTAGTGGTCAAAAAAGGTACTACACACAAACATTAACCAACAGCCATCCATTATCTTTTACCCACTTTTTCCATTTTTGGGTCAAGGGGGTCGCCGGTGCCCATATCCAGCAGTCACTGTAGGGGAGGCGGGGGTCGGGGACACCCTGGACATGTCTCCAGTCCATCACAGGAACACAGAGACAAATGAGACAAACAACTATTCACTCTCTCACTCACACCTAGAGACAATTCAGAGTTACCAATCAGTCCAACATGCTTGTTTTTGGTCTGTGGGAGGAAACTGGAGTACCCGGAGAAAACCCACACATGCACGGAGAGAACATGCACACTCCACCCAGAAAGGCCCCAGGGCTGGGATTTGAACCAGGAACCTGCTTGATGAGAGGCAGCGGTTGCGCCACCGTGCTGCCCCATTAACCAAGATTTCTTCGTAAATTTAACAATTACTAATTATTGTCAAATTTCAAACAGTATTATCGTTTATCGCAATAACTTCTGAGACGATTAATCGCCCAGCAAAAATGATCGTGATAGGCCTATGCAACCATTTTAGTGAATTTAGTTTGAAAATATATTAAATCCCCTTCTAGGACTATTTTATGTTCAATAAAAAACTGAACATTCTATAGGTCATGCCGTGTGTATAAAATGATTTTATGTCTACCTCTATTTACCGAACATCACTGCTTACAGTATCGTGCCGCTAACTGGACCATGTTGCAAAGAAAGCCTCACTCAGAACCACTCTGCCAGTAGGACCATGCTGCTGGAGATTTATTTCTTTTTCACTTTTGGCATCTTGTTTCTGTATTTTTGTTGCATGCTTTGAATAAATCAGTTTATGTTAGTGCTCGTATTAAGAGTGTAAATTATAGACAAACAGAACCTGAGAATCGTGCTGCTGCTGTCCGTGTACCGTTTTGCACTTTTAGTGATTAGCATGCATCAGATCTTTTAGCGTACTGTTGGGCATTCGTTTAGCGTATATCTTAGTTTATATTTTAGATCCTTATTTACTGTACAGTCTTGTTCCACCTCATGTACCACAGGTGATGTGAATGACGATAAAGAACCTTGAACCCTTGAGCTCAGCTTCAGTCCAGCTCCAAGTGAATAGCGTGCAAATGTGAGTGCTGGCACGCCGACACTTCACACTGTGAAAACTCACTTTTAGAAGAGATCTACAAAAGTAAAACGGTTAAAGAGAGAATGAAGTCTTCCAAGATAAATCAAGTTTTTGAAGACAAACGGCTGAAAACATACATCACATGCGTGGTGTTTCCCTAGACACACGCTAAGCGCACGCATTTTAGGACACTTGACTTTAAAATGCACCCATCATGCTTTTAAAGTTATTCTGAATAATTGTAATATTGTTCACATGTAAGACAATCCCTCAGCGTTCAGCTGCTGCGCTTTTGTTTTCATGAAGAGAGATCAGGTGCTCGTTAAAATAAAAATTTGTACTAAGTTCTTGTTTTAATTTAACCGATGAAAACAGTAAAAAAAATTAATTTAAAGTAAAAACGTAGAATAACCTCCACATAAAGATGTTTTCATGTTGCTTGTATTGTGTAATCAACAGCCCACGAACCAAACACGACAAAAAAGTAAACATTCCTTCAGATTTGAGATGATGAAACTAGAACAATGTTTAAAATTAAAGACAGGACTTATAATTATCAATATCCAAATGAGTTGCTGAATGAATTGGCATCAGTCGTTCCAAAAGCAAAGTGACAGTTGAGATAGAAACTGTGAGTATTCTGTGATTATTATGGAACAGGACTTTAAAAAAGCTTAAACCAGTGAATTGTCTCATAACCAAATCATTAATTTGGAAAAACAAGCCATCAGGCAGCAGACAAAGGAAAAATACCTAACATATGAAGAAACACGATCAGTATTATGTAACAAAAAGTCAGGAGGACATGTGGCTTCACAAAGTTCAGAGTCAGAGAAGGCATTTAACAGGACACCTGCAGTCAGTGCGGCGTATCAACGTGTGCTCTGAGGCTCACCAGTCTGACCATCACCACAGCTCCCACTGACCGCTGTGTTTTACAGTAAGGCAGCAAGTCCCCTCTAACGTCGCAGTAACGACTGCCTCTTCATTTCTTCCACAGTTTGCTCATGCAGAGAGGAAGTCTCAGCCGTCCAGCTGCTCTGTGCCACAAGCACAAAGACGACCTCGGGTTAAGAAGCGCTACAAGGTGCTCAGGATGCACGGTGCCGGTTCTGAGCTCCGACACCCTTCGGTTGCATTGCTACTTCAAAAAGGTCCGAGTGGTGAAGTCCACGAAGGGCGAGGAAGCAGATTAGTTGGAGTGTGAAGAGAAGAGTTTACTGCTCTGTGGGACAAACACTGCGATCTTTGCAGCAGAAATAATGTACCACCACACCATTAGGATACCTGGCAAATGCACTGAAAGAGAAAACACAAATACTTTACTGTCATCGTTCCATTTCCACACATAATCGTTTATACTAAGAAACAAACAAAGAGCCATGTATGAAAGTGACCGGGCCTTGAGGGTTTCATTTGAACTCAGATCAGTAAAATCACAAATTAAAACCCATGGGAAAACTAAATTCACCCTCTTAATTCTGTGGATTTACATATCAGGACATAACAACAATGATCTGGTCTTTACCTGGTTCTAGGTCTGTCACGATAACAGATTTTGTTGGGCGATTAATTGTCTCAGAAATTATTGCGATAAACGATAATATTGTTTGAAATTTGAAAATAATTAGTAATTATTGTCAAATTTAAGAAGAAATGTTGGTTAATTTTGTGTGTAGTATATATTTTTTGACCACTGGATGGCAGTATAAGACTGTTTGAACCGAAGGATGGATAGTGAGGGAGCGAGCAGCGTTTTTCTTTAAGAAAAATGGGAGGGAGGCTCCTTGACGTGACATGGGCTGTCTCTTTTTTCTTTTGGTTCTCAAAATGACAGATGCTCAGTGTAGTTTGAGCTCTTTAGCAAAGTTCCAATAATTCTCAGTCAGGTCATCTGGACAGTTTGCTTTAATTTTTTTTCTTTTTATAGAAACGTTTTACCCTCTATCCAGAGGGCTTCATCAGTCTGAGGAGGATACCTGGATGATTGAGCATGAACTTTGTTGCCTTGAACCACTTTGGCTTTGGCTGCCTGCCTGGGAGGAGTCGACAGGGGGCAGGACGGCCCCCAGAAACCATCTTAGCTCCAGTAAACTGGTCCAATTAACAAGTTTACTGCTTGGTGGGGAAACAGTTTACTGGAACTCCTCAGACTGATGAAGCCCTCTGGATAGAGGGTGAAATATCTCTATAAAAAAGAAACTATCCAGATGACCTGACTGAAATTTTATGGATTTGATACCTGGATGACTGAGCATGAACTTTGTTGTCTTTAACATAGCATTTTTTCACACAAAGCTTTTAATAAAAAAATAATAAAAAAAATCAGTAAACAAGTTCTCAGCTTCTTTTTGCAGAGAAAAACAACTTTTTACATGAAGGCACAGGTTTCAACCGTGAATTTTGTAGCTTCGACAAGACGGAGGTTTGAAAGAAATGTCTGCAAAACAAAATTAAAGTAATTTGGAGGAAAAAAAAATAGAAAAGTGTGCCAAATTTCCCCCACAGCCACGTGAGATGAATAAAGTTAGAAAACAAACACGGTTACTGTTAAAGGAGAATTTAGAGCATGTTGAACCACTCTTCGTTTTCCACAGTTATTCCAATTAGGGCTTATTTTCATTTAATTACTTTAATTAATTTGCGCCTGTCGTGTGTTTTTATTTACACTTGAGGTTAGAGTTGAGTGACTTTAGAACCTGGTAACAACCAGATCATTTTTGTCATCGATTCATTACACCCATGAGATGAAACAGGGCGACTCATGACTGCACACGTTGACAGAGTTAACATAAACTGTCTATGAAAAGCACATAAACACCATGTCATTTAAAACTAATTCATTTAATTCTCATATTTGATGTCAGATGATGAGGTGGCACGAGTGTAAGGACAGAACAAAACATTTTAAATGCTTTACATTATTAACAGTAAATATTTTCACACTAATTAAGGAAAAAGTCATTATTAGGGCACAGTTACCTGTTTCCTATTTTCTTTTTACAGACTCTGCAGGTCTTTTCTTCTGTAATGACACATTTAATCTGCTGATGGAAGATTCGCTCCTCCTGCACCTAAAACAGAAAACAAATACTCTTCAACTTATTGGTTTTTAGAACTGAGATACTGGTGTGTTAAATTACAAGAACACTTGGATCTTTTAAATCCTGTAACCCTTTAACAAGTACTCTATGGAGGACTCAGGTTTTACTCCTCCAAACCATCTGATTTTAACGATTTAATAGAATATCTGCGGTTCAGAAACATCAAAAATCACTTTTTGATCAAACATTAGGGACTTATTGGTTCAGAGCTGGAAATAATTGATGAATTTACATATATTAGTTTTTATTCTCTAAACTCCCCCCAAAAAGAAACTAAATAGACTGTAAGCATTAAATTCTTAACATATAATAGTAAAAATCTATGTTTTTTTAATATGTAAACAATCCAGAACTCACCCTGAGGAACTCCGCCTGCAGCAGACTCTTCAGCACCTGGTTGCAGCGTTTTCTCTGAGCCTTCTCCTCCAGGACGCTCTCCAAGAACACCCGGATTTCTCGGATTTGAGTGTTTGCTGGGAGCAGATTGATGGCCTGGAAAAATGTGAGCTTTTTAAACACCACAAACAATTCTGTATTCGTTTCTTTTATGGGCGTGCTAAATAAGTAATTTTAAAATTTAGCAGTTTCAAAATGTCTAAAATCGGTTTCAAACCTAAAGTGAGAATAAAAATGTCTCGTAGGATATGGCAGATTATTAACATGATTACTAAATAGGGGATAATGCTGCTATAATAGTCACCTACAACCCCTTATTTAGACTGTGCAATGAAAAACTAAACATTGGCGTTATGCTCTTTACGTTTTTTTATAGTCTTTCTTGCCAGGTGGGATAAGCACATGATCATAAAACCTCCATGCTCCCCTTTACACACGGTTATTTTGATTGGACTATTCTCCTTCTAAAATCAGTGGAGCTTTTCATGTTTACTTTAAATTAAAAGGTACAGCGTAATACAATGTGTAATTCTTCCAAACTTCTGCAGCAAAACTCTCTCAGTCTCTAACGCAACAGCTGCTTTTCACCTCTTCCCAGCTCGACCTAAATGTGTCATGTGACAACAAACTGTAGCGTAAAATATAGAAATACACAACTATAGATACAACTCCTGCCAACAAGATTAATCCCTTTAGCTCATTTCACAGGAGTTGAAATACAGCACATGTTCATGACCATGTACAAGTTCTATTCTCTAATTTAAAACAGTAAGATAGAACTTTATTGATCTCGCAGGAAATAAAAGTTATTAACTACGTGAGACGATATGAATGAAATCGTTTGGGATTACAGTGGTCCATCGCTACTTTGCGGTTCGTTTTTTTCGCGGACTCGCTCTATCACGGTTTTTCAAAATAAGATTTGACATGACGCACAATTGGCTGACTGATGGATGAGCCGCACGATTGGCATGAAATTTTTATTTAAAATAAATTATTTAGCACCTGCTGCACCTTTGTGCAGCCCACAGCTGAAGGAGAAACTTCCTCCTGCAGCGTGATGAACTCCGCTCTGCAGCGGAGAAGTGGGCGTGGCCGAAAGCGCTGGCAGAGAGCAGCTGGAGGCAGAGAGCAGCTGGAGGCAGAGAGCAGCTGGAGGCAGAGAGCAGCTGGAGGCACAGAGCAGCTGGAGGCACAGAGCAGCTGGAGGCACAGAGCAGCTGGAGGCACAGAGAAGCTGGAGGCACAGAGAAGCTGGAGGCACAGAGAAGCTGGAGGCACAGAGCAGCTGGAGGCACAGAGCAGCTGGAGGCACAGAGCAGCTGGAGGCAGAGAGAAGCTGGAGGCACAGAGAAGCTGGAGGCACAGAG